ATTCAAAACTACAAGTCAATTTTAACTAACTTCTACCTCAAGATAACAGTTAATATCATTCTAAATTATTTTTTATGTCTATCCTTATTTAAAAAGTTTATTTAATAACAACTAAATATAACAATTTTAGAAACTAGTTTTAAATCCATTTAAATTCAGATGCATTGATTTAATTTTAACTATCTAAAATATTGATATTATATTTTAAAAAATAAAATTACAAAAATTAAAATTATTTCTTAAAATTTAATCATCAATATTTTAAATTGTTAAAATTATAAGGACCAGTTGTACTTATAAGTTAAAAGTTCTTAAAATTTAAATTTTAATCAAGTCAAAATGATATAAATTTTTAAATTGCACTAAGTTAAAATTTAAGAGTTAAACTATAACTGAGTCAAATTACAAGAATCAAATAATTATTTTTTAATTTGTATGCATAACTTATACTCCTTTTTTTAAAAAAGTAAGGCATTTTTAATCGAATCTTATCTTTTAATAAAGTAGTTACTTATTTTTTAACTAACCATATCTTTTCATAGTTACCTCTATTAAACATCCTACAATAAATATAAAGTCATTATCAATAGAGGCAATTTTTTTAAAAAAATTAATGATTACACCTCAAAAAATTAAAAATACTTTATATTTTTAAACATTTAACCTTTTAAAAAATATTTTATATTTTAAATGAAAGAAATAATTATTTAAAATGGAGGAATTTATGTAAAAAAAAAATTGATTATGCAGGTAACTGTCAGCTTATCAAACTGATTTTCAATCCTTGTCAACAAGAACGTCAAAAACGTTCGAAACTCTTCTTTTTCTCCATTTTACTCAAACATGTGACAATACTGAGGGTTACGTATACACATGCTGCTTTTGCAATTTCACTCAATTTTTTGACTATCTGTCGACAGTTTCTTCTATTAATCTTTTACATGTACTATATAATTACAAGAGTCACTTAAATTTAATAATATAAATCATCTGTGAACTTAAAATATCTCTCAAAATAAAATACAGATGATAAATAAAAAATGAGGATGCTTATAAAACGAACTAATTAATCTATTTTAATAAAAGTACATATATAGTAACTTCAAATCTGAATCAATTAAATAGCGTTATAATTAGTTCTTTGCACATGATAAAACTACTTTAATTTGGATCAATATTTGAGTGTTCATACATACAAGGAAAAAAAACAAGAGACATGACTTGAATTGCAAGACCACAAATTAAAATAAAATAAAATTACTTGAGTTTTCTATGTCAATCAATTTCACGCACCGTTGCTACCTAATCAAGCTTCACAAGGTGTGACATATGAGAATATATATGAAGACGTGATAAAAAAGGTCAAGAAAGAAAAACTTACGTACAGTTATCTCATATATTATACAGTGAATATTTGTGTTTTCTAGCTAAGCAAATCCAAGTATATTCATATGCACAAAAAAGATAGTGTTCATCCACAGCGAAATAGGAAAACATCATTTTCATTGTTATTAGAAGATTGGATACAGCTTTGAACCACAACAGAGGATCAATCAATCACCAACAGCATACATAATCGCTATAATCATATCCAAAGCCAAAAAGGGGGATAAGATTACGATACAAGCCAAGGGATCAATAAGGGAACTACAATTCAACTCAAACTTCAAAATAAAAAGATTTTTTTTAATAATTTGATTTGGTATATACTTTCTCTGTTTGATATTATAAGCATTCTTTTAAATATTATGCTAAAAATATAAGATATTTTAAGTTTTTCAAATATAATTGACAGGTAAGCCTAACTCATATGAGCTCAAGTTCAAAAATTCTGTTATCTTAAAATTAGTCATTTCTTTAAGCTCGACTCTTATTATCTTTTTTTAATTTATTTTCATTTTCCAAATTTTTTAATCTTTAAAAATTTAATTTTATATTATAATATTATTTTTAAAAATATAAATTATAATTTTTAAAAATTAAAAGTAATTAATAATATAAATTTTGATATTAAAATATAAATATATATTTTAAAATTTTAATTTAATTTAAAAATTAGAAATATTTCATATTCAAGGGTAAAAGTAAGTACGAGCCTGAACAAGTACTCGAGTTTTTTTTTCAAGATTTAAATGGCTAGGATTTAAAAGCCATTTTATTTAAAAATGTTTTAATTTTTAAAGCTCAAACATTTAAAAAGGAGCTTAAACGGGTATTTTCATGAACCAATTCGTATTTTCAACTCAATTTAATTAATAAAATTTTTTAATTAAAATACTCTGTTATATTAAATAAAGATAAACATAGAAAGATTGTCCAATTTTTAAGACAATTAACAAATTCATTATTTAGAATGTAATTAAGTTAAATGTGCCTTAAAATACTAAATGGAAGAAATATTAATTTATAGTATAAAAGTGATGGGACAGAACAGCCAATTGTGGTATTAAATGAAGGCATGTGAGTAGGAAAAGAATGAGGGGGAAAGCTGAGGAGTGAGCACTAAGCGAGTTAGGTTGGGATATTGGTTGAGAAAAAGGGTTAGCAATAAGCATATAGAGAAAGAAGCAATGTTTATGGCTGAGTGGGTCTTGATTTAGACGTAAGTGCTGGTCATACTCTTTAATTACAAGTGAGAAAGCAATTCAGTGACTTTCATTCCACCGTCACATGGAGCCTCACATGCACTCCATTTAATGCCATATAGTGCACGACTAGACCCCGGACTAGTGATCTCTCAACACATGATGATATCATGAATTTCATTTGCAAATTTCAATGTGACAGCTCAGTGAACCACAAGAAGAAGAGGAAACATTTCCATTTATTTTGCTTTTGCAGCACACTAAGACTATCATTTAATTTGGGGGCAAGAGGTTATAAGTTAAGACTATACCACCTGTATATGGCAGATTATATTGGAATTGGCGATTCAGTCAATTGAACAAGCACCTTGCATGCACAGCAAATTGTGGTGAAGCGTGTAACACATTGATAGATACTTACTCCACGTTTTGTAGCTAGTACATGATAGATACTCACAAATGATATTGGAGATAAATATATATATATATATATATATAAACACACACTCTCTACACTCTAGTTGAAAATATAAACCACTTTTAATTAATTCATGCATAATAAAAAAATGGTTAATTGTTAGTTAAAAGTATTAAAATAGCCATAAAATTAAAATAATTTCCAATATTACCATCATCATCATTCTAGCCAATATTACTTTCATTAACTACACTAATCTTCATCATCATGTTAATTTTGACTCTCTCTTCTTCAATATCACACTTTCTCACATAGGGATATATGAAAAAATTAACACTCTAACAAACCTATGAGGTAATTAATAAAAGGAACCAGATACACATTTTAGAATGTGCCCTATCAAGGTGTTGAAATTCTGAGCGTGCTTCGACTTGACTATGTGTGTAAGAGCGAAAAAGTCCTAAATTAGATTGAGTTGAATTGAAAAAGAAACATATAAATGATTAGCATTTGGGTTACGACATGCTGTGAAGCAAACTTATATGTATAATTTTGAACAAAAGTGTCCACCATGCTCAATCCATAGCAGTCCTTTTCATGTAATGTTTCACATATACCTGATACATGTAAAACAAGTTGCTTTCTCAAAATTGAATGGCAGAAACAAAAAGACAAAGAGTCACTAACGCAATTGAAGATCACACCACACTAGTTGAACCCTTATTTTAGAGGAGAGTAGATGAGTCAGTCTCAAATAAGATCATCATTGAGGTAAATTGACATTACGAAGAACATCATGGCTAGCTAAATGTGGTGTTCAAAAGGAGAAAGAAGGAGTAATTAGCACACAATGCAATTTGAAAGTTAAAAAAAAAAAAACCCAAACTTGTGTATAATGTTTCAGTGTCCGGATCAATGGAAACAGAGCACATGGATAGGTAGAAGAAATGGCCTTTTCAAGTAGGTTGTTTGTTGCCACATGGGGTGCGTATTAATACGGTGAGCGTGAAACTAAGGTACACAGGCTGGTCCACTAATGGACTTAGGTTGGTTTCTGTATTAATATGATGACCGTGAAATAGTCACACCTTGGTTTATAAATTATCATGAGGGATACTGTACAATGAAAATGTTCTCTATGGTCGTGAATGAAAAATTGTACTATTAGAAAAAGATGTTTCCTGCTGAATAATAATTATAAGAAATTTTCTGTAGAATCATTTATCTTTGTCTTTCAAGGCTTGTTCCCAAATGAAGGCCTGCAAAAGGAAACCCAACGTTGATTAGGCCTCATTCAGTGTGGACTATGACTCATATTCATACCCTTGAGAACAAAGAAGGCCGAAGTAATCTGATGGATCACACTCGACTCCAACCCCTCTTAGGATTTCAACAAAGCAAATATAGTTTATGAATCCCCCCCCCCCCCCTCTCAAAAAAAAAAAGCGCACAGGTTAGGCCTAATCAATACAATTAGAAAGCACCAGAAACAGGTTGGTTTTGGGTAGATGTGGATGTCTCAGTCTTGTGGAGGATCAATTCTGTATGAGAACAGGTCTTGGAAATTTGGTTTCATGAAAAAGATAGGTTTGCACCAAATACTGGGGTTATATTGGATACAAGGAAATCAAGTTATATATTAGAGTTTTAAAGCCTTCAACCTCATTAAAGGGATTATAACAAAGGACACCCTTTGCTCAGCCTCTTGAAAGAAAGTTAGGGAATTAATTGTGTCTGGTTGGCTTCCTGTGATCATAAAGTTCAAGAGACACGAATAAATTCGTTGATAATCTTGCAAACAGGCTCATCCGATGAATGGGGAATTCATCATTATGCCCCCAGCATACCTTGGAGTGCATAATTCTCATGTGCCGTGACTTACATGATGAGCATGTTGCCTATTGGTAACCAAGTTTCATCATATGTAAACTAAAGACTATGATGAATGATTGTGGATTAGTGTTTAAGATGACAATGTAATAATGGCTCAATTCAGATTTGCCAAAACTAAATTTCATTGACAATAACAGACTTGTTTGAAATCTTGACCGAATCTCACAGCGAAAGCAAAAGTACACTCTTTTAACTTTCCTAGATGCGTTCACCAAATCAATATGGTATATACAAAACCATCACAGGGTTATGAACCCACAGCGCTATGATTTCACTTTTGAGCTGAAGTAGCATGGTTAGCTTCTGAACTTGCAAGTCCCAAATTTCAGAGACCTTTCTGATCATTGTTTCATACTAGGGCCAGCTTTTGCATTTGAGCAACCAACAGCTTCCTGATCAGCTGAGCTTCCACTGAACAACTGTGAAGAATATGGTCCACTTTTCCTCAACTTACCTGGAAATTCTTTGCTTGAATTACCCTTCAAAGAAAAATTCTTTTTTATGCGATTCCGATTTAGCAAGAACATTGTGTTGCGTGGTGGTGCATGCAAGGCCGCTTCAACAAAACCACCTGCTTGCGCACAGCCCCAGGGTCTTGAGGGTCTGTCCTCATAAAATGGTCTTATCCTTGGAAAACCATTTTTCATGCTCAGAGGACCCCGATCGGGGGAATTTTCTGCCAGCTGAGTGCAGAGAGGGCAAGGAGGATCACTTTTCCGCAAATTTGGAGTTGTCTGCTCTAAACATTCTGCATGGAAAACATGACGACAGGGAAGAACACCGGTTGTAGGCATGTCTCTGCTTCTCACGATACGTTGGGAACTCCAAGGAGACCTCTGTGACAGAAATCTTTCACACAAGCTACATCTGAATCCATCATTATGAGGGCGAGGTGGTATTTCAGATTCAAAAGACACCATAGCATCTGCAAAATCAAGACTGCTGCTAGCACTGCTACATTGTTGGGAATCTGTGAGTGGGGTGGAAACGCCAATCCCAGAGAAACCTGTAACTGCAGGATCAAAGGCTTCCCTAGCAGCAGTAATGTCAGGAAAGGACAACGGATGAACGGGTTTAGAGATAAAAGACCGGTGGCAAGAGAAATTCTGCTGTGAGGACAATTGTGATTTTGCAAATAAATCGGATTCACAACTCTCTGACTGGGATGAGGCAGAGCTCCAACTATCTGGGTTTTCTGGTGTTCCCTGCACGTATGTTATTCACTTTAATCAAATTTCTTCAGGGGCATATGTGAATTAAATGAAAAGAGAACATCCTTTCTTGTTATATATTATAGTCCTTCTGTGAAAACTTTACCTCCTTCGTTGATGTAACAAATAAGCGGCCCAAATCTGTTCAGTAAAATTCAGAAGGAAGTAGTTCAGGAAGAAAAGGTACGAACAATAGCAGCACTATAGAAATACTGGAAATGGAAAGCATAAGAAATTAAAGTCCAAAGCATACTCACAAAAGTACAGGGTGCACTAAAATATTATTAGTAGTTTTCATGTTAGACCACCACAAGTTTTTTACACTATAATATGAAGCAATTATATTAAAACCCCAGTTACAATGTCTATGCAAGCAAATAAAGAAACCCAAGGGGCAAAATGGCTTTCTAAACTGCATTCCCCTTTCATTTAAATGGACAGATTAGGTAGTTTCACGTCAGGACTCATCTTTGACAGCTGACATTACAAACCAAACAATTTTTTCTCTTCCCTAACCTACAATGCCCAGTTTCTAATCCTCTATCCTCCATAACCCAAAATTTTCTCAATTAAACCCTAAATCATCAGTCAGAGTCTGCAATCTCAAGTCCTCTCTTTCTTTCTTTATTTCATACAAGTGCTCAATCATCAGTGTGTGGTTGGTCGTTTTACGTGATGGGATAAAGGTTATTCTATGACGGAAAAAAATTATAACAGAATATCCAATCTCTATAATGCAACACTGCCTCTCTTCTGTCTAGACCTTAATTTTCAATACAATAAAAATGCAAACAGAAATGCAAGATATTTTCATTTTCATTTATGGTCACGCATTGTGCAAAAGAGGTGATGATTCAATCAACTTACTGGTAACAAAATTAATCAATATAAAACAAGTCTGATGAACATTTTTAACGAGAGTCAAACTAATACCTCATATTAAAGCCTAAAAAGTTAAATACATATACAGATATGAATATTCTGATTTCAGGATTACCTTTCCTAACTGCAGTTTCATAATCATCAATACTTATTTCCTGTATCGCTGGAGGTGTTCGCTGACGAGCCTGAGAGAAGTCAGATGGACTGTTAAGGAAAGGTTCAGTGCCATCTGAAGCAGAATAGTGAGGATCATACAGGTGGTTGTCTCTCACCGAGCCTCTACTATCTTTCTCACTGTATAAAGAAGACCCATGGAGTTGAAAACCATCATATGGCAGCCCATCAGATTGGAATCTGAAATCCCATCTTGCTGGAAGTGGTGAAAAACTTGTATTGGTGTGCCAGTAGGGTTCACGGGGACCCATTGACCAGTCCCTACTGTCTGCATTTGACCCATGTGGCCTTGAAGCCACACAACAAAGTGACCCCGTTTTAGCTATTTTTTATCAGAATATCACACTTAACACAACTCTGAATTCTTCTGACTTTGTCGAGCCGATATTTGCTTGCCAAAGAGAAATGTTTCCAGAATATGTTACAATTTTCTTCTACCAAACTTCACTTGTAATCATCTCATAAATCAACATACAACAGACTCCACCTTCAACCCACACGTACAGTAGAGAAGATGACGAGAACACCGAGCAGCTTTATCCCACTAGGTGGAGGCCGGGAAATGGATTGCCCCACACCATTGTGCTATGTACAGTAGAGACTGAAGACTAAATTTTGCTGAAATACCAAAAGGTCCAGATTAATCATCCTACTAATAGAATGAGGGAGAAATTAATGGCAACATAAATTTGAGGTAAAGTGAAGTTTCATTCAAAAGACAAGCGCATAGTGAGGCAATATAATCAAAAGCATGCCACTTTCTTTTACAATTTTTTTTTTAAATAACAATAAGATATGATCAAAGCTCAAAAAATTAGTCACGGATGCAAGAACGTACAAAAAAATCATGTTTGATTGCAGAGTTTATTGGCCATCGCAACGGCAGTTCATATCTCAGCGCTCATAATTCATACAACCAGAGGGCCAACAGTTAAAAGCTAAATCTACAAAGAAACTGAACAAAAGACTATCCAAAGATTATTTTACCAAGCCAAGCAACACAAGCAGCAAAAATTTCTGCAAAAGGAGAGACAGAAACTAAAGAAATCCAGTATACACCCCTAGATGAATAAGGAAAAAAAAGAAGAAAGTAATTTCTTCAAAGCACATTATCGCCAACATCGTCATCCCGACGTTCAAATTTTACTCAAGAACTGATAACTTTGATGCCACGACTACAAACACCAACCCTTCACCAAACGCACCTGAAGCAAGAGAGTGAGTAACACATAAGAAATTTAAACCCAAAATGAGCAAGATCTGGGCACAGCTACTTTGCAGCGTGCGGCCACAATTTGAAATAAAAAAGCAAAGTTGAGAGCGAGGCGCTCCAAGAGGTGGACGAAGCAGATTCCCCAGCAGAAGCGATGAAAAATTTTTTGGAAAAGAAGGGAGCGAAAGGACAAAAGAGGGCCTGGGTTCAGTGGGAAAGGTGTTTTGTTGAAGAATGTGGGCAGAAGTCAGACGAGTCCGAAAAACCCAGGACATGGGTTGACCCGTCCAGCTGGCCCGACCTAATATGTTCTTTGTCTGGTTTCAATTTTTAATGATTGGCTTGCCAAAATTTTCCGCATCTCATGAATAATCCCTTTTATCTTAAAATTAGTATAATTGATTAATTAAATTGAGTACGTTAGTTCAATTAGTATACCATCATTCAAAGCAACCGAACATGAATGTTGTGCCGACTTTTTTGGGTAACCCATTATCAATAGTAATCCATCCATTTTTTCTTTTTGGCCAATCAATCAATCATTGATGTATTATAAAGCTATTGTTGGTATGAATATAAAATTTAAAATGCATAATAAATCACATATGTATCCGGTCATTTTTTTAAAAAATATTTTACATATAATTTTTTTTAACAAATATGATAACATAGGTGAAAGTCATGGTATACAATACATTGGTTGAGTGAGCAGAACAAGTGACAACTTTCTTTGTCCATTGTTACTGTTAAGAGTTCAAACATTGTGAAATAGATAAAACCATTTTAGATTAACTACTTTTGTATGTGCTCAAATAATAATGCTTTTAAAAATGATATGATATAATTCATTGGTACCAAATTATTTATTATACATTGTGAAATTCATTTACCTAAAAATGTAGAAGTAGCTTTTAATCATAAAATTAGAAAAATAAGTCAACTTGCTGAAACATTTGTTTTAATGATGTTCATCATTAATATATCTTCGCATCTTTCATTCATGGACAAATGGAAATAGTTTGTAACTTGTCCTATGTTAAATAATGATGATGATGATGATGATGATGAGTTAGAACACCAGGAATGCATACTTGCATACGCCCAAATTAGAATAGGCTATTTGCATGCCAACTTCTTAAAAAAAATTGAAGGAAAAATCACTTCAAGATCCCTTGTAAGGATTTTAATCATCAAGAGATTCCATAAAATGCACAAAATATTCTCAAATCCTAAATTTTGTGCAATTATAGCTTGATAAAGGAAAAAAATAACTTGGCAAAGGAAAATAAAAATTTAGGTATGAGTTTAATATCAAGTTGTTGTTTCCTTTGTTAAGTTGTAAATGCACAGGATTTGAAACTTAATAATAATTTATATATTTCATGAAATTTTAAAGTAATTAAAATACTTGTGTGAAACTTCTTAGTAATTTTCCAAAAAATAAATTAAAGAACATGTTAAAAGGGATTGGCATCTGTTGCACCGCATGTGAAATACTCTCTCCGTTTAAAAATATAAGACATTTTTAATTGAATCTTACCCCCAATAAAATAATTACCTACTTTTAAACTAATCTTATCTTTTCATATTTATCCCTATCAAACACCCTACAATAAATATAAAAGTCATTATCAATAGGAACATTTTTGGAAAAAAAGCAATGATAATTCTTCGAAAAACTAAAAATGCCTTATATTTTTGAACGTCTAAATTCTCAAAAAATTTCTTACATTTTTGAATGGAGGGAGTACATGTTTTGTATTAGTAATGTGTATGAAGATAAAATGACAATGGCACATCTGCTGAGGCATGGAATAAAATCCCTAGACAAAAGCAAATGGCTTTGCCATGTTTTGCATTCACTTCAGATAAGTTATTCAATGCTTGTTAAGTTGAATATCAGCCAACCAACACTGTAGTGTTTTGCCTTTTCAATCACATTATGAAAATTACTGATGTGTTCCAGTATTTCTTTTTTAATTTTAAACAAAGAGCATATACTTGATGAATAAAAACAATCTTAACCTACAGTCCCACTGCATACCCACCATTAGCTGGTTTCAAATCAAAGCTTACATCAGAGACACATCACATGGTTATACAATTAATATTGAACAGATCCAGTTACGTACCTATTCATCACTAGACTTTATTTTTTTCGTTGAATGGTCATTATTACTAGACTTTGTTAGGTCTAGGTAGCACAGAACAAACACTCAGGGGAAAACACACCTAAATTGTATTAATGAAATTATTCAAGAGCCACAGCTCAGTACAATAAAAGATGTTAAATGCAATAACAAGAAACACACTAGACAAGAGAGGAAATAACAGGAGAAGAAGGATCAAGAAGATAGGAAAAACCCAAGAGTTCTTGGTAGCTTCCCTCCTGTGAAAAACTGAAAATTATGGTTTCCGACAAATGAAAGTCTATCCTGACTATGCTGAGGCGATAACATCATAACTCTGAGCATCCTTACAAGGACATTACTTATTATGATAGACTTTTATTATTTAGAAGTAGTCATGTTTTTTTAGATTTTGTTTTTAGAGAAGTCTATGTGTGCGCTCATAATTTAGCTAGTTTTACTACTAGTTTGATAGGCTCATTTTGTTCCCATGATCAACCTCTACCTTACTATAGGGAGATGGTGGATGATGATAAGAGATGTGCTAATGTAAGAACTACTATGTAATCATTTTCAGGTAATGTTATCAGTATTTTATTCAAAAAAAAATAAAAAAAAGAAAGGGACTAGAGAGAGAGACAAGAACATCGGGGAGAAGGCATTCACCAGACTACCCCTTCACTGTTGCCCTAGTTACTTCTATAAATATTCCCACTACTCCAAAGAAGCCCAATAATCCCACTGGCTGGCCCCTTTTCATCGCTATTTCTATCCAACTCTAATAGCCTTCTTCATGATCCATATCAAAATAAGGCCAAGTCATCACAGACTTGTCAACAAAACCATAATAAATGCATTTTTTGAATAAAATATCCAACGTTCTATAGTTTTCTACATGATAATAAAATGTCATAGACCAACTTCAATGGTTAATTCTGGTTTCCTTTCAAACCTACCAGACAGAGTGACCCACACACTGTACAGAGCCATCATTTACGATTTTAAGACAATTAGTCAGCTTACATTGCTTCTCCAACGTAAACTTCTGCCAAGATAAATGACATGTTAAAGTTCTCCAAGCTTGTTGCTGATTTAGAGGCAACAATACACATAAGTATCAATGTATGTTCACAGCAAGGCTTCAAAGATCATGTAGTTTATGTATTTTTTGTGTTGAAACCATAATACTATGTGCACCTAAACTCGGACTGGTCCAGAGTGACAAACAGGGGGGCAAAATTTTAAATAAGGTGAAATATGGTGGGCCACAATCAATTTTAGCAATTTTTATAAGGAAAAATTAAATAATTTTCGAAGGGAGGTGACCCCCCGGATCCGTCTGAGCTAAAGGCTTTTGATGCTACTTGTAAGCTACTCCATATATCTGGGGTCTCATATATGCAAGAGTTTTCATATATCCTGTGTTGAGCTCAACTCTTGAAAATCCAGCTTCTGATATATAGCGTCCTGTGTCCCTGCAGAGGTGACACCCATCTGCCAGCGTCTGTTGAAGAGGATCTAGAATTCTCTGGATAAATCTGAGAATTGTTCCCTCTGCATCTCCGTTCAAACACAAGAAGTATACAAATAAAATTAAGCTACTTCCTAAGATTACAGCATTCCATTTCAGAAGTAAACTGGATAGTTATGTTCACACCGTTCGCAGCAACATGTTCAAAAAATAAATACTGTCCACCTGGCCGCAGCACTCTCTTTATTTCTACACACACAGTTGAAATTGTTTAGATGATGGACTTGGATTATAAAGTTGTGCATAATCAATCAAAAAATATAGGGAAGAATCTATCATGTGGAGGATGAAAATTAGGGTCCCTTCTGATCAAACTCCTACCAGATGCAAGAACGACAACAGAACTGAACTGAAATACATCTGGAGAAGTAGCATTCATACAATCCAGACATGGAGCACAAGCTTGTCAATCAAGATACAAAATTCTGAATTCAGCTCAGCATATGCTATTCAAATTCTAAGAGAATCAAAAGTAAATAAACAAATAACAAGAAGGACCTACAGAGTTCATTACCTTTGAGTGTCATGGAAACATCTGTAACAGAACACAAGACAAGTGTTCCAACCACTGCATCCATAGAAGCATCACTTAACGGTATAACCTCCCCAACCTGAATGCAGCCAACAACTTGAAAGCTTAAAAGATATTAACATAGAAGAACCGCCAGATATTGAACCGAACAAAACGATAGTAGATGGCAGAACATCACTACAAGAAAAGGAGCCACATGACAAAAGCCTTCATAGTATATTGGAAAAAATTCAAGGCCATATTGCTTCCAAATTCAGTACTATGAAAATATTATAACAGCATTCGACCACAAATATTGGATTCTTTTTCCAACTAGTTGCTTTTAGTCCAATCCAAAACAAGTCTTCAAAGTTCAAACCACCTCCTATATGCATTTTCATTCCTTTCTGTTCCCAGAAAGAGGTAATAAAGTGGGAAGAACATTGTACATACACCATGTATAAACTCAAAATTTGAAGGTGGCAAGCCAGCAGATATTGCTGAGGACCGAGCATACTTTTCCATCTTTTGGTTTGGATCAATGCCAACAACCTGAACATTAGAATTACTAGCATAGTAACTGAGATTAGGTCCTGTACCAATTCCAATCTCCAAAATTTTTTGCGCCTCATCGCTCAAATTGCTGAAGATTTTTGATTTGTAAAGCGAAATCTAAGCAACAAAAGAAAACATCACAAATTGGAACCCGATGCAATTAACAACTCAAAACATGAAAAAGAAGCTCAAATATTTATGAACATGAATCAAAACCCGTGCAAAGTGAAAGATGAACATAAATGATGAACCTCGGCTTCAAAAAATTTAGAGGCATTGATCATAATTGATGCAAAGAACTCCTCGTACCAACCAGGCCTGGGTGGATGAAACTTGTTAACCACATCCTACAAGACTATCCATCCATCAGTACTAGCATGAACCTAAGCTACAACATTGTCACTTTCAATTGTCTCATCCGCATGGCGATTATACTTGCAATTCCAGGCGAAGGGCGAGGGAAGCGATTACCGTGTAATCAGAACGCGGAACGGCGGCGGTTGAGGGCCGAATTGGGAAGAGAGTAGTTTCCAGTGATGCAGATTCGAGGAAGTGCGTTCTTCTTCTGCAGCAGAAGCATGATTTGGCGGGTTCCAACGAGGCCGGGTCGAGCCGTTTGGAAAGCGAACAGGACAAGGAATTAGCTACGAAGAGGGGTTTAGATGGAGGGCGTGGAAGTGCCAAGAAGGAGATGGAAGACGAAAGCATTCTGCACAGAGGCAGTGTGCTTACAGTGTGAGCAGCGCTGAAATTCGCTTCTTGCTGATGAATCAACAAGGCAAAGTTTGCTTCTTTTTCAAGAATTGTTGCCTGCATGAGAGGGGAAGCAGTCAAGAAATCTAGTTCTCAGACTTATCTACCTGGTAGATGCTTACACGTGCAATTTTTTCCCCACTTTATCCCAGACTTCGCCATATCTGCACCAGACATATGAGATATTTCTTTATATGATTTCCTCCTCCTTTTGCATGACATTTTATTTTAAAGCACCACACCAACAGCGTACGCTATGGCTATTAACTCTGTCTCAAAATGAAACACTATTCAATGGCCTAAATGTAATCATGACGCCAATTTGCTTCTAAGATCCCTCCTTGAATGAGATGTCTGTGTTAGTACTTAGCAGGGCATGCATTATTATAGGATAAAAAGTTACTTTAACATTTAAACTATTGATTCAAGGTAACTTGGGATCCTAAATTTTTTTACCATAATTTTGCCCTTCAACGTTAAAAACGTCGTAACGTGCTCCCTCCCATTAATTACAAGATAACATTTGTGAGTTTAGTGTTCTGAGGCCCACATTTTATTCTCATATAACTTAATGATCAGTACCTTGTAATTAACATGATAGAACACATTGTGATATTTTTAAATGTCAAGGGGTAAAATTGCAATAAAAAAAATAGAACCCCATATACTCTTGACCTTATAGTTTAAGAACAAAATTATTTTTTTACTCTTTTATTATCCCTAGTGTAAAATAAAATACTAGAAATATAAGGGGCTGTTTGAAATTATTTTTATTTTATTGTTTTAAGAATTAGTGTTTTACAAAATATGTTCTAAGAATAAAAACATAATAAAAATATGTGTTTTTCTTGTTTTTTTTATTCTCCAGAATAATAATCCTAAAACATCTGAAAGTTATGTTTATTTTTCTGTTCTCCAAAATAATATTTTATTTTTTTGTTCTCTAAAACACTTTTTAAAAATATATTATCAAACAGAGTTTTTTGTTCTTTGATTTTTAAGAAGAGAAAACTATTTTTAAAATAAGTTGCCAAACAAACCCTAAATTGCTTGTAAAAGTATAGCTGGATATGGTATCGTGAGCAAAGCTGTGTCTCTCTTGATGGCAAAGGCCATGGCAATGCTTGAGGCTTTAACTTGCAATCAAGATAACCCAGCTTCAAGAGGTAACCTTTGAACTAGCCCAAATAAAAAAATAAATTTGGATTAATGAAAATTTGAATTTAAATTTGGACCAAGTCTTTTATTTGAATATATAAAAATTTATAAAAATCTATTTTTTAATATAATTTTTTTGTAATTTTAAATTTTTGTATACTCTAGTCATTTGAAATTTCCTCATGTTTTTACTATTAATATTTTTATAACTCTTATATATTTCCTCATATTTTGTTCTTATTTTTTGTTAATTAAAAAATAAAAATAAACTCACCACTCTCAATTTTTTATTTTCATTTTCAATTGCAATTAATTTCTCTTCTTTATTTAAAAATTTTTAAATTACTCAAATAAAAAATATTAAATATATGTATTTTAAATGTGAGATTTGAATCGCAATATTTTAAATTTAAAATCAAAATTATTCTATCCAAACGCTACATTAATAAATTGCATTGACAAAGGTTGCTCTTCCTTGAATTGGAGATGTGATATCTTTACAATGCACAATATAAAAGTGGCTGAGTCAGATAAAAGGAGCTTAATTTCCTTTAATTAAGGTTGAGAATTGGAATTGGAATATCACAAAAAGTAAAAAATCATACAATGAGAGCTCCACTTATATGAGCTCAATAATATTTTAATTTAATATGATCATGCCATATACGAGATATTTCGGTTTAAGAAAATTGTATATATCGCGCTTAATTATTTAATTATATTGTGAAATTCATTTATCTAAAAATATAATTAATAACTTTTACTTATAAAATTGGAAAAATAGGTCAGTTGAAACTTCTGTTTTTTTTTAAAAAATAATGCCCCTTCATTAATATATCTTTGCATCTTTCATTGACGGACAAATGGAAAATAGCTGTTCATTTGTTCTATATTTCTATGTTAAAAAATTAAGAAGTTAAATGCCAAAGATAATAGAAACTAGTAAGTTAATTGAAACAGGTTAGAACTCCAAGTCAAACCTTTTTTTTTTAATTTAAAGAATATGTAAAAAGCAATTGGCAAATGTGGCATGACACGTGAAATGTTTTCTATTAATAAGAAAGTATTGACACGAGAATAAGTATCATCAGATTCAGATACACTACTACATGCTATTCCCCCCGTTTTTATTTATATATATCACATAATTTAAAAAATTTAATTAATTATATTAATTATGTTTGAAAATAAAAAAATTAAATTATAATATCTTTTATTAATTGTGTTAATGAAGTCTTTATTAATTATTTTTTATGACTATGAATGATAATATTATGAAGAATAATTTAAAAAATTTACAATAAATGCTTATTAAAAAATATTTGTTTATGTAAAAATAGAAATTAAAAATGATAGCTTTTCTTATAAATAAAAATGGAAGGAGAACATGATATGTTGAATACAATAATTTTCAAAACCTTGAAATGAGTATGAGAATATATGAGTCTGTTTAGTTTTTGTTCTCATTTTTTTATTTTCAAAAATTATTTTATAATACAGTTTTTAAAATTATTTTTCAAAATAAAATAAAATAAAAATTTATTTGATTATATCAATTAAAAAACAGTTTTAGAATTAAAAAAATAGACTAATAGTAATAATTATAAACAGTTAATGATGATAATTAAAAATAAAAATTAATTAAAATAACTATAATTTTTAATAATCAAATATAGTGTATTTTAAAAATAAGAAAAATAGAACGAAAACAACTTAAAATTGTTTTCATTTTTTTATTTTTAAAAATAAAAAATGCAAATAGTTTTAGAACCAATTAACTGAAAAACACGTATTCAAATAAGTTTTTAAATTTTTTTATTTTTAAAAATAAAAAACAAACAGTTCCTATATGTGTGTGTTATATTTCATTACGTTAGGTGATAAATACACGTATCTTTAGTTTTAAATAAATAATAAAAATATATTTATAATCATCAATTAAATTAATTAAAATATTAACTTTTAAAAGTCATTTAAAAACATTTTAACAAAAAAATATTGTAATACAAATAGTAAAACACGCGATACATATCATGAAATATATAATGTATTGTGTATCAAATCAAACACAAATACGTTTTCTTTTTTGAAAAATTTAATTCCTTAGTTCTTATAATTTTGATTTTATTATAACTAAATTCTTGAAATTTTACTCATTGTAATTTAATTTTTAAAGTTTTGAATCAATTGTAATTTTGTCTATCAATTTTGACTTTTACAACTCAATCTTTATGGTTTCAATCATTTAAATATTGGTTTTATATTATAAAAAATAAAATTGTAATGATTAAAATATTTTAATTAGGGCTGTGCAAAAATCTTTAGTCCTGTCTGGTCCAATCCAACTCGAGATGGTCTTAGTCTTGTTCAATCCATGTAGACACTGGTCTTTCAGGACCAAAAAAACTGAAAAGATCAGACTATTTTTTCAGGTTGGATTAGACAAGAGACTAGGCATTCTGACCACTTGGTCCAGTCTAATCCTATTAATTTTTTTATTATAATTATAACTAATTTATTTTTGACAAATGTTTGAAGTGTAATTAATGTTAAGGAGATGATTGTATGAAGATTTGTTGAGTTTGTTTTTAAATTATTGTTGTAATGTAGTGTTGTTGAATTTTATTGAGTGTTATTTTTATTAAAGTTATAAATTTAAATCATTTGGACTATAACAAAAATATTTTTTTTATTGTTGAAAATTATTACGGATTTATTATTATTATAAGTGTTTTTATTATTTTAATTAAGTTTATTATGTGGTAATGGATTATTGCCTCTCATAGAATAAAAAGATAAAAAAGCTAAGTGAATACTGGACTGACAGGACCAGTCTCCCAATCCTATGGGCCAAGTTCGGTATTATTAATCTTCGGGTTATCACTAGACAAAATCAGACTACGGGTTGCCTAACACAATTCTTTTCATGAAAGAGACCAAACTTTGAGATAGGGTGAAGTCCAGTGCCGTTCTGTCTTTTGTGCAACCCTAATTTTAATCTTTTAATATTTATAATATTTATAAAGATTAAAAGGTTTTAGTGATTTAAAATATTAGTAATAAATTTTAACATAATTTTAATATTTAATATTTTATTTTTTAAGATATAGAAACTAATATTTAAATGGTTAAAACTATAAAGATTAAGTTGAAAGAATCAAAATTTAGAAACTGAGTTACAATCAAGTCTAAATTTTAAGGATTGAGTTACAACGAGTCAAAGTTTATGAATTAAATTATAACTGAGTTAAAACTATAAAGATCAAATAATTAATTTTTTTTCTTTTTTAGATATTAATTCTTCATAGCTTTAAATATTAGTAACATCTAAGAAAATAAAATGACAATGCCATATTTTGTATTCACTTCAGAGGAGTTATTCAATACTTGTTAAGTTGAATTAAATTTTTAATTGAAGAGTATACACATGATAAAAAACCAACCTTCGCATGCACACCCTCCCATCCCCGTTAGTTGCTTTCAAAATCAAAGCTTGCATCGGATCAAGTTACTTACAGATTCATTATTTGTTTTGTGATTGAAATATCCACTCATGTCATGTTGAATTGCAAAAACTACATGACCATCATAGAGAACTTGATAAAGAAATTTATATAAAATTTTTCTGCTCTGATCTTAATCAGAACAGCAAGATGCAAAAAACAGAATCTCAAGAGGAATGCAATATGCATTTGGAATTCAGATGCAATTCACGCTTTCTCCTGTTCGTTTATTCATCGTAAACAAGCACGTGCATTCCATAATTCTACATGATAATAAAACATCATAAACCAACTTCCACAATTAATTCTGGTTTCCTTTCAAAGATCATGTAGTTCATGTATTGTTTGTGTTGAAACCACAATAGTTTGTGTACGAACTACAGCGCCTTGAAAGCCAGCCAGCCAGAAGGCCATAAAGTTTAGAAGAAGCTTTTATTGAATTAAGATGGCCATAGTCAAAACTCTGTGATTAAAAATAAATCAAGAAACATCTGAACCTATAAAATTTTCTACACCGTG